ACCCTTACCTCCCGCTGTCCTTTCCAGTTATAATTCCTGATTGATTCCAGCAGCTGTTTTTCTGGGCATGCAAATTTCCTTTGCCCAAAAATGTGCATTGCATGTTGCCAGAAGGTTAAAACAAAATGATGAATTATAAAGAGATGTGTTAGAACTAGAAAATGTTATAAAGGTGAACTTGACTTTAGGAATTGAATGCCTTCCTAAAACCATGCTTCTCCATATTTGGCTCATTTTTATTTTATGTAGGGAAAAACGATTCTCTGTTGAAATGCAAGTTAGAAGAACTTGTGCATGTACTGTAAAGTTGTAATTTACTTTCCATGCCTGTTGCCAGGACTACGCGATTTGTACAAGTGTTGTGTTGTGATCCACTGTGACACCTCAGCACATATTCAGCTGGGAGCCTGTGATGTTAGCGGGGTTCTGTTACTCACACTCCAATGATGTCATTCAGGAGACTTCACTCCAAAGTAGAACTTATAAACCACCGTAATTGTAGAGATTCTGATGGTTATTGCAGTTTTATAGGAAATAATGTAAGGAAACAGCACTTTCACATAATTAACTTTTTTGTGATGTCATCTGGAGATCTAAGTGCACCTGCTGGAAAGACTAAAATCTGCCTGGAAGGTTTGGGGTGGAAACTGCACTGAAAATAAGATATTTTTGTTTTAAAACTTAATATTTACTCTTCACATTAATGAGTTTAAAATGTATGTTTCCCACATGCATTGAAGTCACTCATTTTGTGGGTGGGACTGTCAAGCCCCAAAAGTAGCAATCAAGTGATGCATCTTTAAACAACATATACAATGAAACAAACATACAAAAAAAGAAAAACAAATTCACTTTTGTCAAGCCTAATTTTTTTAAACATAAGCTAATCCAGCAGACCCTTATTTTCTCTTTGGTTTATTGGGGGGCACAGTTTTTTTTCTAGATCATCAACCACTTTGTACAGGGACATTGCAGGAGTAGGACTCTATGTACAACTAAAGAAAAAATAAAGAAAGTATATGCACTTTCCTTGTTCTTTGTGGGTTCAGCCCACAAACAAGGAGTATAATGTGCAACAGAGTATAAAATGTAGATAGGTGTAGGGGTCCGGAGTATAATGTACAACAAAGTGAATGCAGTGCAGAGGTCAAAAGCATAATGTACAGCATATAATATATATATATAATATAATGCAGGGGTCAGGGATATCATTTTTAATATAGTGAATGCAGTACTGTGGTTAGGACTATGTAAGAATACGGCACTGTGCTCAGAGTGCAGTGAGCCATAATGTTTACATCTGGTGTTTGGGAAAAATATGCCCCAAAATAGGTGTAACAAACAGAGCAATAAACTCCCCCCACCTACATCCTAAAATGGCTAATCTCTCTTTATCTTCCCCAACTGTTTGTGGGTGCACAGTATGAATGAACAATATTACAGCAATTTGCATATGTATGGACTGTGGACACAATCTAACGGACGGGAGTGACTACAACAAGATGCACAGTGGGAGGGGAGAAATGTGACAAATAATGGGGTTGGGGTTAGATAGCAGAGCAGGGTGATGCAAAGCCTCTGTACATTGGACTGCATGATTAAGATTAAAGTGCAAGATACTGCTTCTATAGCAATGTTACTACTCGGGGTCCCTCTGGAAACACCACCATTTTTTCCTTCCTTTGAGATCTTTGTTGAGGACTGCCTGGTTGCGGGTTTCCTTACTATCATGCTAACTCTAATATTTAGGGTTTCCACCCACTTTCTCTCTATGACTATGGTCACCAGGGCAAATAGAGTGGGTGCAGTTTTCCATCAGGGACTTAGCAGAGGATCTAACCCACTCTATCTAAAATAAAAATAAATGTTTTCCTTTATGTACACTTTAATTTTCTGCATCAGGACACAATGCTAAAAAGTCCCTACAGTTACTACCCACAGCTTCTGAATGTCCCTGATTTGGAGCCTGGAGAAATACAGGGCAGTGCATTCCAGAATTCAAGCACCACCCTCTCTTTCAATTGCATGCTGTCTCACCCACATGGATTAGAGGTGCAGTCAGCAAAACCCAGAATCGTGTGACAAGAAGCCTCAGTTTCTTCCAGAGCCTTTCACTTATTATATAGCCCACTAGTTAACTCTTAAAAGTCCTAATGATTTCTCAATAAGTGTAGGAGACACCTGAGGCTTTTGCATTGCTTGCAGCTTTTGGACATGTATAGTCTTGTAATTCTCCTCTATGACCATCTTCCATAATTTTTATGTTGGATTTACCTTATGTATGCAGTGGTGGCTAGAATTAAATAAAAAATGCAAAAAGAAGGCAAAGTATAAATGCTTTCTTTTTGTGCCCCCTTCCACTTACCCCACTTACTCATCATCCAGAACACTAGCAAATTGCTGCATTTCGTTTTGTTATATGTGTAGCCTTCCATTTCGTGCAAGTAACAGTTGCACTTAAGTGTTGTCTAAAAGTTTTAATGTGTGTACGTTCACAGATAACTGCAACCAGTGAACCATGAAATGTTTTTCTGACCAATCTATCAAATGACTTGTGACATTGTCGGATTACTGTTCATTAACTAAGACAGTGAGGAGGGAAAAAAAAGATGCCATGTTGCCATTAGCCCATAAGTAAGGCTTGTGAAGCAGTGCAGGGATGTATTCTGTTGACCAGATCCCTCAGCGATACCTAGTCTAGTGTTTAATAAATAAAACAGATCAAACAGTACTCTACAAGGCATTTACTTTCAGTAAGTGCTGGTAGAGGTGCAGTGGTATTTGCTCTTATGCGTTACGATGGGTTGATTATGCTCGGTCTTTGATCATGTGTAATGTGATTTTATTTGCTTAGCCAAACATTCCTGGAGCATGCCGTTCAGCACAGAACCCTACTTTGTTTGGAGAAGGAACTAATAATTAGCTCTCTACCTATTTGGACACAGTTAATGTGTTGTATTAAAGTGCCTTATTTCATGGTCTTTACATAATCACTGCGCAGAGTAGCTGAAAGGTACTGTATAGTTAAGCATCCTTCATAAGCCCCATGAAGTATAAATAAGTACTTTGAGGAACACAGTAGTCATGTATGTAACAGTATATTTTCATTGTCAATACTGTAAATCCGTAAGGACACTGTAGCTCATATCTGAAAGCATAAACGCATGCATGCGCTTTTTAAAGTGTATTTTGATAACTGAGACCACCCTGTATTGCTGGGTGGTCTTCATATAAAATGAACTACGCTGTTCATGTGCCTCAAAACACTGAATTTAAAATCTTCCTAAAGCTATTTTAGGTACAGATTAAAATAAGTTAAATCCTATATTTATTTATTTTTAGGTGAGGAGAGGCCTTCTAACTGTTGAAGGAAATCCATGTGTGTGTGTGTGTGTGTGTGTGTGTGTGTATATATATACACATATACACACACACACACACACACACACACACACTACATATGGATTTCCTTCAACAACATGTAGTAAAAAGAGAGAACCAGTCCATAAAATTCTAAAGTGCACTTGTACTTCACTTTGCTCCCCCATTGCCTTGTATACGCACGCACGCACACACACACACACACACACACACACACACACACACACACACAGAGAGAGAGAGATGTGTGTATAAAAGTGAAGAGTGAAACACACACACACAGAGAGAGAGAGATGTGTGTATACAAGACAATAGTGGAGCAAAGTGCACTTTAGAATTTTATGGACTGGTTTTCTCTTTTTACTACATGATGCATGAATGTACAAGCTTTTTTTGTGTATAGGTATACTGTATGTCTAGACCCGTGGTTTTCCATGAATGTACAAGCTTTTTTTGTGTACAGGTATACTGTATGTCTAGACCCATGGTTTCCAAACTGCAGGCCTTTGGTTGCATTTGACTGGCCCTTGGGGCCTTATTTCTTCCACTGACACAAACAATGGGACACAATTCTTCCCACTAACACCAACAATGGGGTGTTTTCTCCCTCTGAAACAAATGTTAGGTCACAATCCTTCCATCTAACACCAACAATAGATATAGTTTCTCCCTCTGACATATGCAATAGGGCACAATTCCTCCCACTGATGCCATTAATAGGGCACTATTTCTCAAATTGACACCAGCAATTGGGCACTACACCTCCCGCTAATGCCAATGGTGGGACACAATTCCCTCCACTGACTCAAAAAATGGGGCATTAATTCTTACCCCCATTTAGCACAGGTATTTAATTCAACTGACCACTAAGCCTGGGGCATCGTTTATGTCCACTGACACCAGATGATTTTCTACTCCCATTGGCCACAATCAGACCCCCCCTAAAGTTTAGGCACCCCGGGGGCTACAATTGCAACTGGTAAACATTTTTTTACAAATTAGGTCATGAAGGAGAAAATTTGAATAATCATCAGTTTGCAAGACTTAAAGTGATACAAGAGTTAAATACATTCATGTACCTTAACTATTAACAACGATGTAGCTTATTTGTGCATCACTCAGTTTTGGATCTTCAAATCTTCTCTGAATTCATGCTGATACTGTCCTTATTCCTGGAGGGTGGCTACTTTTGTTTCCTGTTTGTGTTGTAAAGTAGACACTGCCCCAAGCTTGCTCCCTTGATGGATTACAATCTCATGTTTGTATTGAAATTATAGTCCATCACGGGAGCGAGCTTGGGGCCTCTCCATAACAATAAAAGTTTTTTTTTCCTGCGCATGGTCAAGGGACTGGCCACGTACATGGTGGATCTGGCAAGTGCACTGACAGGTAAGTGTAAAACTTTCAGTGAGTACTGGGGGGAGTAGGAGGTTACTTTAAGGATAACTATATAATAGTGTAGTCATACTTTAAATTACTTGTGCCTGTATGATGATATTAATTTGCACAACATTTAAAGCTATTAAAGTAAATTGAAAAAGAATAAGTGAAACTAATTATCTGAGGGCATTGTCTTCATTTCCATTAGTAATTGTATGTGTATTTCTTATGTTCTGCAGAATCACGCCCTCTATCGGTTCCAGCAAAGGTGGTGCAAACCTCCAAGGAGTCCAGCAAGACTTCGGAAGAGAGGATGAAAGAGTTCATGGGAATTGTTTGGAATGCAGTAAAGCGTCTTACACTTCAGGTGAGATTACAGCTGATGTTGAAAGGTCTGCCCAAGAATAGTTATATTTAAGTTGTAGATGTAGTCTGCTTGGCTACATATTCCAGTGGGAGCCCCGTTGTGAGATGTTTGCACCATAGTACGTGGCTCTCTTCCTGTGCAATGTGAATTTTCATATGTGGCGGGACCTACCTACCCTGGAGTGTCCCCACTCCCCCTGTTGCTCTTTTAAAATATGAAATAAATTAAAAAGTCATAGGATGGTGAGACCACCTCATAATTGGATGAGCAGTTCTGCAGAGATCTTGCAGAACCTAAGAAATATAAGAAGCAGGTAGTTTTAACTCTTCATTCTCTATCAACAACTGAATATCTGCTTTGGGTGGACTAATTCTTTAATTACAGTTTATGATCTTTGTTTTTGAATTATCAGTAGTATCAGTTTGGAAGTGTAATTACAGAATTTCTGCTAGAAGCAAAATTTCAATCTGGAATGTTCCATTCTCCTTTTTTTACTTTATTGCTGGCAGTTCTAAATCAATATAAAATGTATGAAACGCTGCATCTCTTGCACCTTACCCCACTGTTTCAAGATCAATGGGCTGTGCTTCTAATGTTTAGAAACTGTATGGTGCTGTGTGTGCAGAGAGTATATAATCATCAGCAGCAATGGTTGAATACCTTGTAACAGAGATGTTGAGTATGTCAGAGTTCACATAACTCCCCTTCTTGCTTACCCTATGGGTACTGGAATTAATCCTATACTGGGAACTCATTGATGTTTTGCAAAGGGAATAGTTTCCATGGGAATCATATTCAAGACTTGGGCAGATCTTGGAAGCTACATATTTATTTTTTATTTTTAGTACAATATATTTGCACATATTTAAAGCATGCTTCTGTAAATGTATTTACCATTTATTCTTTGATTGAGTTGCACACAATCAGAGAGGGTAGCTTTCAAGGAACTGTGTTGGAGAAGCTTTTTGCTTCAATGCAGAGTGGTAACCAAAAGCCGCACACTAAAATCTGAAAATCCCTTTAGACCCCATTCACACATAAGACCACATCGTGCGACATCTTCCTATTGGGCTGTATGCAATCAGGAGCAATATCGCTCAAAATCGCTCTAAAAAAGGGTCATGTAGAAGCGACAAGCTACCAGCGACGAGCTACAAGCGATATTGAGCGACGAGATGTGAACAGCTACATTGAAATGTATTGGTGAAGCTACATAGAGCGATATAGCGCGGAAATATGAGCGATATCGCTGCAAAAATCGCGCGATAAATCGTTCAATGTGAACGGGGCCTTAAAGCAGAATAGTATTCTAGTGATCGGTAGAACAAATCTGATTGATACATTTATGCATACTAGTCCTTTACAGTTACATATATGAACATGCATTCCTAAGGTGGGATTTCTGACTGGTACCACAAAGTTAATTTTGGTTTGGAATCATGTTATGGCACCATGATTCAAATTCTTGTGTCTGAATGAACTTTAAAATTAAAGATGTTTTTGTAAGCCACCGTGAAAATGATATAAAGCTCCTATGTTACATGGAAACATTAAGAGCTCTATTCACAGGAAATATTATGTGCTTGTTTCTTGCCCGCAAGTTAGCTGAAGCTGATTCTTTTACTATACTGATATTCACAAGAAACTTGGCTGCGATTAGTAAGTCATGTTTTCTTAGAGAAAAACCGGATGAAACTCTGATCATTAAATACTGTCTCATTGCTTTACAATAAACAGACCACTGTTTTGTCCAAATCTGCACAAATGATTTTCTAGTTTTTTTTCACACAGCCAAGTGACATTCCTAACCAATTTAAGACTTTCAATTCAAGAATAGTGAGATGCAACTGGCTTTTTTCTTTACTAACCAAAGATCCTTATTTTTATATTTTTTACCTGAGATATATGTGGCATTGTTTTTCCTCAATATATATATATTATTGTCTCTTACTTTTTATTGTTATGATTCTTCAAATCATGAGCTTTTGAATCATCTTTGTAGTGGTCCTCTGATCTCATGGATGTACATATGACAGCCTATATGTGCAAAAAAAAATGGCTGCTCTAATCAACGTTTGGCTGTCAGTCGTGCAGAGCCACAGTAGAGCAGTATATGTACAGAAGGCTGAAGCCTTCTTTTTTATTTATTTTTTATTTTAAGCTCCACTTACCTACAAGTCTAAAGTAACTTCAAAATTAGATATATATCTATATCTGGGTTACGTATGGGGCTACGTTTGAGGTGATAATTGAAATGTGGGGTTTATGGGTGCTTAAAGCTAAAATACTAATCCGGCAGCGGGAAAGAATGGAAATGAAAGTGATCAGCACCAGAAGCTCAGGGTAGCAAACTTTAAGGGTAAGCACAAATTTAGGTAGCAATATTAACAAGTACAGCTCAACGCTGTAGCTGCCACAGTGCAAGAGGTTGTAAACATATGCCTCAATAAAGCTAATCCAAATTGTGTGGATTAAATTTAACCTACGTAGCTATAGACGTAGAAAAGCTAGGATTTATTTTTAAAATTGCTTTACTGTATTTACAATAGGAAAACATCTGTGCAGTCTAATACCTCACAACCTCAGAAGTAGCAAACTCAAAAGTGACCTGTAGTAGAGCAGACAATTATGGCCAAACCAGAATGTCCACAATGTATGTAACCAAAAGTGAAAGATATCAATGCTCCTTCACTCTCTATGTAATGCAATTTCTAACAAATTACCTCTCAAAAACAAATGAGTTTGGATTTTTATTTTAGCAATACACCAAACTTTCTACTTACTGTGCAGCTTTTAGTGCAGAATTATGCAAGTCTCTACTCCTTTGTAACATATCAGACTGTGTCCATATTTTAACGATACTCAACACTCATGGTAATGAGTAGAATAACCACACAAAATTGCCAAAACTTTTTAAGAATAGTTGGATGTTCACACTCCCCCTCCAGCATTGTATGGAGGGATTGGACAGTACCTCCAAACCGGTTTCCCAGCCTCTGAATACTTCTCTGGAACTTATACTTCCTCCATTATGCCTGAACAGCAATGGTAGAATGTGTACTCTCAGTACTACATTGGTCCTCAGCAGCTTGCCAGTGTCTTCCTGCTCCTTGCCAGTCAAACCTTGTTTTCAATGGTGCTAGCTGTCTCTACTGCTACTGAGCACACTCCTCCAGACTTCACCTCAGTCTGGCATAAATCCCAGGCACTTTTCACCCAGCTGTTCTGACTTTCCTCAGTGCCACTAACTAAAAGGCAAGGCACCGCTCATTTAATAGTATCAAAAAGACCTTGTATAATTTAAAACCCTATTCTACTCGCATTTAAATGGGTACCATAGGCATAACAGCAACTATGGGTACCACAGGCATAACAAGGTACCATAGGCATAACAGTGTTCACTTTGATAGCATTTTCTGGTGGCGGACACACAACAGCAGTTTCCCTGGGCAACTGCTCTCTGTACACCAGCAGTTCATGGAGGAGGGCATAGACAAATTATAAAATGTTTCCTTTTTACCCCATCTGTGTAACCCTTACATGCCCATTGTTACTCGTTAATTATTTGTAGTGTTGCAGCTGTAAATCTTCAAGGAAGCTGGGATGGTCCAACTCTGCAAGCCATGCCAGGTGGTGGCTTCTCTCTCTCCTCTGGCTAAAGACAAATGTGGGAAAGGGCTGGCATTAGAACACCGTATTGGCAAAGGCATCAGGAGGTAGAGAAACTGCAGCACAGCATTTCATCCCTCCTCGTGCTGGCCTGGGTAGCTAAATATTCTGTGTATCATCCAAGTGCATAGTCTGTATTTTTACAGATGCTTGCCAATTATGCTGGTATTTTTTTGGAGGGGGTGCTAGGGGGGATTTTTGCTGATGCTTGAGCACACCCTTGGCAATGCCCATGCTGTAACCAAATCTAAACTAGAACCTCACCATACCTAGGTAATTACTTAACTTGTCCTCCTCTGGTGTTTTATGCACTCACAAAATCTTCTCTGGAGCTTGGCCGCCTCCTCCTCCTGGCATCTCTAGTGCAAAAGCATGACCCCACTGAAATTTACACTGAGTTTCTGCTCAGCTACTACCAGCACCAGAATGAATTTCAGGCCTGAGTGAACACTGAAGAAGACTGCTGCTGTTATGGGTAAGGAAGTAAGCACCTGTTTAGAGAGGGTTCTAAGTTATGGAGCTAACTTTTTTTTTTAAGTGATCTTGTTCTTTACAGGCTTGGATCTGGTGCATGGCATGCTGCTAATTAAGTAGCAGTGACAGTAAAGGGATTCTGCTGTTCTCACTTATTTCTTTGAATGAAAATCACATTTCACATGGCCAAATGGTGCATAAGAAAAAAATTACACCAAAAATGACCAATGAAAATATTTGCCTCTTCCATGTCATATGCTCATGGTTACTGCTTGTGCCCTCATCAGAACATAGTTGGTTACAGATGATGCTTCCCAGCAGATGGAGAACAGTACTATCTGGAATGCTTGCTTCATCTCTGAACAGGATGTTTTGACTCATTAAACACTGAACTATCAAGAGAAACTATCTTCTAGACCCATAGAGCTTTGCCTAACAGACATTACTAAAATAATGTAAAACACATAATTTAGCAATACTAGGTCCTTGTGCAGGCACTCCATGTTAAAGTTTGACAACGCTATGTGTCTCCCCAATCGTATGTTGTGTCTCTGTCACACACTCCTCCCTGTCACACGCCAATGGAAACTACAAGTGGCTGTGCTGAAACACATTGTATAGACATTTGCCACTGTTGTCATGATCAGATAACCAACAATGAGAAATGACGTACTTCAATTTCTGGAGTGCATGCATGCAGGGGCATAGTTACGGATCATGGATCCTCCTTATCACATTTTTTATGGGGCCCCTGGTTACCCCCCTCTCTCTGTGGTAACCAGCAGTGTTAACTGCTTTCTTCAATAACAGAGCAGAAGAGCTGTCAACATAATCAGTACATTAATAAGAACCATTGC